CAATGCCACCGTGCTGGCATACGGCCAGGTACATGCTCTGCCTGCTCCTTGGGCTCTGGCATGGGCATTGGGCTCTCCTGCAGCGCTGGGTGCTGGGGATGTTGAGATGGCACCTGCATAGGTTAGGGAAGGCGGGGGGTGTATAAGCACCTGGGTGTGGAGGGGACCGAGAGTTGTCCCTGGGCTGGGTGAGAGCTGGGGCAGGGGGTGGCCTTGGGTGGGAGGAAGAGGGAGGCAGGGCTGGAAGTATGGGAGCTGGTGTGGTGGCAGGGATCAGAGGGGCTCAGCAGAGGCGTTTGGGGAGCCTGGGGTGGCAGGGGGAGGTGTGGGGCGCAGTGGGCAGAGCTGAGCCTGGGAGGGCCCAGCCAGCTCCCCCCTCACTGCCTCTTCACAGACTGGTGCGGGGAAGACATACACCATGGGCACCGGCTTTGACATGAACATCTCTGAGGATGAGCAGGGCATCATCCCACGGGCCATCGGCCACCTCTTCAGTGGCATTGAGGAGCGCAAGCGGGCGGCGCAGAGTCAGGGCGTGGCAGCACCCGAGTTCAAAGTCAGCGCCCAGTTCCTGGAGGTGGGTGACAGCAGGTCTGGGTGACACTGTGGCCCTGCCCTCTCCTTTGGTCAGTTCCCATGTCCTGGGCTCCTTGAGTCCTCCGTGTCCTGGCTGGTCCCTGGCTGAGCTGGACCCCACAGCAGGCGTGTGGCCCAGGATGCATGCCAGGGCAGGGGAGACTCAAAGCACCTGAATGTTGTTGACCTCATGATGGCCACAAACTGGGGTGGCACTTTCTTGGCTACAGGGAGTGCCCCCCGTGGGGAAAGGGTTTATGCCTTGGTACCCTGGAGATTCAGGGGACTCTGGGCTTGCTTACTCCTGTTTGAGGTCGAGGATAGCGGCATACCTGCTCCCTTGGGTCTGGACCAGTGTTCCCAGTGAAACAAGGAAAGGAAAAAGTGCCATTCTTGTGGGGATTTGAGGAAGGGCTGTGTTATTTCCCATGTCCTTTGCTGCATTTTTGACCTTGAGAATGCTTCATTGCATCCTCTCCCGCCTCTGCTTTGGCCTCTCCATTTCAAAAGCTTCTTCTATTAACTGCTTCTTTCCCTGGAGAAACTTGTCCCAGAAAGCCTGTGGACCTTGTGTGTCTGCAGCGGTTTCCCTGGGGGCTGGTCCTGGGGTGAAAGTGCGAAGAAGTTTCAAGATGGGAACTGGTTTAAGGCCCTGGTGAGAAAACATAGGGTGCTGTTGAGCAAAGCTGAGCTCCTGAACAAACTTCATCTGGTTGGTGTCCTGATCTGGGGTATAGCCAGAGGAGAGAGGCAGGCAGAGAGAGAGGCCCCATGCTGTGATCTTGCCTCTACGTGGCTTTGGTGGCCATCACATCTCGGTTCCTCCAGATGCTGATGGTCTGGAGAGGGGAAGCAGTGCCCAAAACCACCTCCTAGCCTGGAGGGCTGACCTCCTTGCCGGAGAAATTCTTCTCAATCAGCTTTCCATCTGCAGAGCCCTTTTTAACTCCCATGGTGCTGTTGTGTCCGGCCACATCCTTCCCTCCCCACCACTCGGCCTGTCCAAGCTCCTGGCTGCCTTCCCATGCATCCTTTGCCTCGTGGGGCTCCGCTCTGGGGAACCTGTGGGCTGGGATGGAAATGGGGACAATTTCCTGCCTGTTCTGAAGTCCTTCTGAGGGGTTAACCTTGTCAGGCTTTCTCCCTGCTGGAGAGTCCCTTAACCCTGTTGGGGCTGGGGCATAGTCCTGCCTTCCCTGGGCTATAGGATCAGATACTGGCCTTCAGCCCAATGTAAGTCCCCTCACCCTATGTGACACACTTTCCCTTCCCTCTCAGCCCCCTGTATCTGCCCTCTAGGAGATCCTTTGCTGCCCAGCTATAGTTTCCCTTGCCTCAGTTTCTGCCACTCAGTTTGGGATGACCTGACGCTGCCCCAAGGAACTGGGTGACCTATTAGCTGGGGTTGGGACATGTGAAGGGTGAACACTGGGGAGGGGATGCCTGTGCTGCCTCTGTCCCAGGCCATCCTAGGAAGCATCTCTGCAGACCAAGAGGTCCAGCACAACCCCAGGGGCACCTGGGGGTGACAGAGCAGTGGCCCTGCATGGGGTCACACCAGCTGCCGTGGGGATTTCCTGTAGCCTTTCTCTCTCTTCACCACCTCTGACCGCTGGTAGTTTCGGCTCTCAAAATAGCCTCAGAGATGCTTGTCCTGTGGCTGCAGTGGAAGATGGGAACAAGGCTTCCTCTGCTGTGTTTCAAAGCCACTCGTGGTCGCGCTCCCCAGGCCAGCTGTGCCCGGTGGGACACTGGCAGCTCCAGGGTGGGGGGGCCATCTGCCAGCTGGGGGGGCTTGAAGGCTTTCCAAGGGCCCTGTTACATGTGGGGAGAATAAAAACCCATTGCCTGATGGCCCGGTGACCAAGGCTGTTGGAGCCTGTTGAGGGCTTTGCCCACTGGTCCACCCTGCAGGCACGGACATCAAACCAGGAGCTCTTGTGCTGCTGTGCTGAAACCTGTCCTACAGCCACCATTATCCAGGCAACCCAGGGAAGGTTTTGTGGCGATAATGGCTCTCCTGTGCCAGCATGGGCACGTGGCCGCATCAGACACTGGTTACCAACCCTGCTGTCCCTGCAGTGGTACAGGATTTGGCCCTGCCTGAACCCCGTCCTGTGACTCTCCTCCTGGAAACAGGCTGTCAGAGCGGGGTTTAAACCCTTGGGGAGCCTGTTTGCACCTGGGGCAGCCAGGGATGGATTAGCCTGATCCGCTCTGCTGGCCAGGAGCCTGTGGTCCTCGGGTGACCCTGCTCTCTGCACTGGGACGTGGGTGTGAGAGGGTGATGTGTGGCACTGCGTGGTGGGGGTGGGGGGAAAGACGGGCAGGGGTGTCCCTGCACCCCAGAGAGGATGCTGCAGGGTCAAGATATGGATGGGGGCATCTTCTGTCAGCTCTGGGTTCTCAGGGTTTTCCCTGCTTGTCCAGCACTCCCTGCTCCCCCTTGTCCCCTTTCCACCTGGCAGAGGTGACCTCAGGGAGCTGTGGTGGGAGAGGGGCTCCACTGGCTCCTGTGACCAGGGCCTCCCCAGCTGAGCAGGGAAGGCTGAGGGGATGCGTAGCCCCCGGGTGTCTGCTCAGGCTCTGGGGACGGGGCTCTGAAAGTTCCCACACAGCTGCTTGTGTGGGCCAGGGACAGGACAGGGTCGGGCAGCTGGAACCAATCCAGACTGCAGCTCAGAGCTTCGCGCAGCAGACAGGCACACGTATGCATGCCTGCGCACATGCACCATTTCATTCTGGGCATCCTGTCCTAGCTGGGTGCCCATGCATGCAGGTCAGAGCTTGCCTGTGCATCATCTATCTGCATACACATGCTTGTGTGTCCTCTCCTACACTTGCACGCACAGCAGCTCTCCTGGTCAGCCTTGCCTAAGCACACACATATGCACGTATGTGTGAATACACGTGCACCCCCAGCTGTGCAGCCTGTCCTCCTGGCTCTCAGGACTGCAGTAGCAGGATGGCAGAGGGCAGCTCCTGCCGGTCCCGCTGTGCCGGGCTCTAGCAGCTTCCTGCTTACTACTACTCACCCCGCACCTGCTTCCACCCTGCTCAGCTCTACAACGAGGAGATCCTGGACCTGTTTGACAGTGCCCGTGACCCTGACGCACGCCACCGCAAATCCAACATCAAAATCCATGAGGATGCCAGTGGGAGCATCTACACTACAGGGGTCACATCGCGCCTCATCAGCTCGCAGGACGAGGTGGGTGCGGGATGGGGCAGACGTGAAGGAGGGATGGCAGCTGGGTGCCCATCGGCCAGGGATGTGCTGTGTGGGGACAGCCAGGCGAGGTGGGGATCTTGCCTGGGTTGGGATAGAGCAGCCCCGGGGTGATGTAGGGAGAGGTTGGTGTGCCCGCGGGGCTGCGGCAGGGTGCTGTCCTGACTCCCTAGCAGAGTGCTTCAAGGTTTCGTTCTTCCCTCCCCCATGTTGTTGCAGCTGATCCAGTGCCTAAAGCAGGGGGCTCTTTCCCGCACCACTGCCAGCACCCAGATGAATGTGCAGAGCTCCCGGTCCCACGCTATCTTCACCATTCACCTGTGCCAGATGAGAGTGTGCACCCGCCCGGAGCTGGTGAGATGTGCTCCTGCTTTCTGGCTGGGCCTTTCCTGGATCTGATATGCAGGCAATGTGTGGGAGTCCCTTGGAAAGGGGAGAGGGCCACTCTCTTTGAAGTCTTGCAAAGAGAGGCAGGGCTTTGTCTTGCTTCTTTCCAGTCATAGCCAGCATTAGCATTTAATGGGAGCTGAGGTCTGCTCTGGAGTAGCCCCATCCAAGGCAAGGGTGGTCTGGCCCAAGGGATGGCCCAGAGCAAGCTGCTGTTGGCATCCTCTCCCCCATCCTTGAGGGGCTGGATGCGGAGGATGAATGCTCAGGCTTTTGCTGACATCTGAGTGCGGCCAAGGGAGCTCCTGCCTGCTCCGGGTCTGTGATGGTGACCCTCTCCATGTGTGCCTGGCTGCAGGTGAATGGGGAGGTGACCAGCCTCCTGGACGGAGCCCAGCCCACCACCGAGTATGAGACCCTCACGGCCAAGTTTCACTTCGTAGACCTGGCTGGCTCAGAGAGGCTGAAGCGAACGGGTGCTACTGGCGAGAGAGCGAAGGAAGGCATCTCCATCAACTGTGGGCTGGTACGGCCCCGGGCACCGGCAAGCAAGGGGAGAGGGGAGGCAGGGCCTGCCTGGGGGAGCCTGGGACACCTTTGAGTCCTGCTGGGAGCTGCTCTGGGTTGTTGGTGTTGCTGCTGTCTCTGCTGGGGCTTGTGCTATCTGGCCCTGTAGGCAGGAATACATGCAATCCAAAATGCCAGTGGTGAGGGCACAGCTCTGCTGCTGAGGGCAGGACACTGGGGAGGGGTACAGCTGGGCACAAGGGTGCAAGTCCCCAGAAGGTTGAGGTCTGCTAACCTGAGCTTAAAAAAAGTCCAGGGCTCGAAGCTGCTCCTCAGTGCACATGGGACAGAGGCACAGCCCAGGGAAGGGGGGTGAACGCCAAGACTGGCAAGGGAAGCCCCGTGCCTCCACCTCTTGCACCCCAAACCTGTGCCACAGCACATGCCCCAGGCCTGATGTGCTGGCTACATGATAGCTGTATTCTCAGCAGGGGCTGAATCTGGGGGGGCCTTTCCTTTGTGTTGGTAGCTGGCCTTGGGGAACGTCATTAGTGCCCTCGGAGACCAGAGCAAGAAAGTTGTGCACGTGCCCTACCGTGACTCCAAGCTCACCCGCCTGCTGCAGGATTCCCTCGGGGGCAACAGGTAAGGGGGGCCCAGGCCGGGACTGAGCCCTGGGAGAGGACTGCAGGGGCTGATGCCCTGCAAATAGGGCCAAGGGTCTATGGAGCCATGTAGGAGGTATTTCAGGACTCAAATGCCTCGTGGGTTGCCTGCTGGGGAGGGGATACCTCCTGGCAGGCAGTGCATGACTTTGCAGATGTAAAGACTTTGGCTCCTCATGAGTCCCAGGTGCAATTAGCCAGCTTTGGCAGAATTAGCTGGTGCAAAACACTCCAGCACCCTTGCAGATCTGGGACTTGGCAGGTAGTGTTGCCCAGCATGGGATGGATTGAATTCCCTGCCTGCTTTGGGGGTACTTCTCTGAAGAGCCCAATTCTTCCCCAGCAATCCTGGCGTGTGTGGGCTGGTTGGTGGAGGTTGGCTTTGCTCAGTGCTGCATGATGTGTTGCTCGTGGGGTCTTGCCAGTACTCTGGCCCTGGGAGGGACTGAACCCAGTTTATACCTTGCTTATAAAACATAGAAGGGCCTAGGATGGGTGTCCGGGGGCATGTGGCCTCTGCTGGGTCCCAGGTGTCCATGTGCAGAGTTGGCGCAGCGTGGGGGAAGCTGTCTCTTCACCCTGACCTTCACCTCCCCAAGCCAAACCATCATGATCGCCTGTGTGAGCCCATCTGACCGGGACTTCATGGAGACCCTGAACACACTCAAGTATGCCAACCGGGCTCGCAACATCAAGAACAAGGTAGTGGTGAACCAGGACAAGACAAGTCAGCAGATCAGTGCCCTGCGGGCCGAGATCGCCCGCCTGCAGATGGAGCTGATGGAGTACAAGGCGGTGAGTGGCCGAGTGAGCCTGCAAAGATGGGATGGAGGCAGGAGCAGAAAGTCGCCTCCTCGTGTTTGAATTGGGGCAGTTGTAGCGGGAAAGACTCTCCTGCCTACCGCACTCTGCCCCTATTGATAGGGGTAATTGCTAGAAGAGGTCAGGAGGCTTAAGAGATGGGGGCTCAGCTCCTGCCCTACCACGGGCAGGACCTTGGGCAAGTCTCTTGGGGATGCCGAGGCAGGGAGAAGCCTTGAAGCATCTCTCACCCTCTGCCTGTTGAGCTCAGACCTTCCTGGTCCATAGATTTGTCCCTGCCCCTGCTTTGGTGGCTGGGGCTGCCCCTAGGGATGCAGCAGTGGGCCCCCATGTCCCAGCTTGCCCTGTGCTCAGGGACTCCCCTCCTGTCCCCACAGGGCAAGCGGGTCATCGGGGAGGATGGCTCGGAGGGCTACAGCGACCTTTTCCGCGAGAACGCCATGCTGCAGAAGGAGAACAGTGCCCTGCGCATGCGGGTGAAGGCCATGCAGGAGGCCATCGATGCTATCAACAGCCGGGTCACCCACCTCATGAGCCAGGAGGCCAATCTGATGCTGGCCAAGGCAGGTGAGGCTGGGCTAGTGCGTGGCATGGTGGGTCAGCCCAGCCAGCGTAGCTGGGATGGGTGCTGTGGTACAACCCATGTCTTGCCTTGATCCACTTGTGCCTCTGCTCCTCCAGGTGACAGTAATGAAGCCATTGGCACCCTCATCCAGAACTACATCCGGGAGATTGAAGAGCTGAGGTGAGCCGGGCATGGGGGCTGGTGAGTCACCTGGGTCCCTGGGCCGGTGGGTGCTGTGGTGGGGTCTGAGCCCAGGTGTGGCTCACAGCTCCGTGCCTCCAGCATCACTGGGGTGAGTCATAAGCCCTGATGGAGTAGCAGCTGACTACACTGCTGCTACACTGGGGCTTGGTGCTGGGCAGTGCTTTGGCCATTGTCGTCCTTTGTGTGGCCATTGATGGAGGGGGAGATCCTGGCAGGAGTGCCTGGTGTCTCCCAGGGACTGCTGGCCCCCCAAAGCTGGGTCCATCCCAGTCTCTTGCATGATCCTGGGACCTTGTCTTGCAGCATCCTGACCTTCTGACCCAATATGAATGAGAATGGCTTTGTGGTGACTCTGTCCCTGGCTCACATCATCCTAAAACCAGGCAAGATCCCCTCCTCCGGGGACAGTGGGATGTCCTCTCTTTGACCTCATCCCATCTCCACTCCCTAGGACGAAGCTCCTGGAGAGTGAGTCCATGAACGAGTCTCTGCGTCGCAGTCTCTCGCGTGTCTCTGCCCGGCCCCCCTACTCCATGGGCTCGTCCCCAGCATCTGGCTTGGCTGGCCTGTGCAGCCCCGCTGCTCCGGTGGAGACGGAGGCCTCCGATGTCCTCCGACGGGCCAAGCAGGACCTGGAGCGCCTGAAAAAGAAAGAGAGGAGGCAGCAGAGGAAAGGGTGAAGGCAGCTGCTGTGCAATGTTGGGAGGGGGGAGGCTGCATGTCGGTCCCTGTCTGTCCCTGTGGGGTCGGGTATCCTGCTTCCTCCGTCCGTGCTAAAGCCAGAGCACCGAGGCAGCCCAGATGCCTGGGTTCCCCTCCCAGTGCTGCCTTGCCTTTGGTCTCCTTTTCACCTACCACATGATCCTGGAGGTTGTTTTCCCCAAAGGGTCCAAAAGCAGGAGGCGAGGGGGGCCCCGGCAGGACCCGCCCCCAGGCTCTCCCATGCTAGGACTCATCAGCACCCCTCTGCTCTCCCCCAGCCCAGAGAAGGAAGGATTTAAGAAGCGGCAGAAACTGCAGCAGGACAATGGGGAGGAGACGGATGAGAACGAGGTGGAAGAGGTGAGCAGGCTTTGTGCTCCTATTGAGGGGCGAGTTTGGGTGTGGAGCATTGTCGTCGCCCCATGTGGGAGAGGGACCAAGCCCAGCCTGGCCCTGCAAGCAAGCTGGAAGGGTCATGGAGCCAAGGACTCCACGCTGGATTAGGGGGGAGCTGGATGCTCCCCAGCCAGCCCTGCTGTGGAGCGAGGAGCCCACATCTTTTTGGGCTTGGTTTCAATAAGTGTAGGTGAAGGGGGGTTGGGCGATCCAGTGCTACTCAGCTGGGAGGGGATGGATGCAAGGATGGATGTGGCACACAGCTGCTCCTCTCAACTGTGTACGCTGGGGGTCCATAAATGGTGCTGCAGGCCCTGGTCATCCTGTGTGGGAGGCTGAATCCCATTGTGGGGGCTGCAGCCCATCACTGTAGAGTGAGCTCAAGTTTGGAGGAGGGAAGAGCTGCAGAGAGAAGGGCAAGGCCATGCTGCAAGCTGAGGTTAGGCACTCATCTCTTAGGAGGAGGAGGAACAGGATGAGAGCGGCTGTGAGGAAGAGGACGGACGTGAGGATGAAGATGAGGACTCGGGCAGTGAGGAGAGCCTGGTGGACTCGGACTCTGATGCAGAGGAGAAGGGTAAAGTGTGGAGCCATGCATGCAGCCCAGGGTATGGGAGTGCCTTTGCTGGTGTCTTCTGGCACTGAGCTCTGGTTCTGGGAAGGGAGAGTCCGCTGGGACGCCCCAGCCAAGTCTCCTCTGGGGGGCTTGGAAAAGCACCAACATTGCTTCAGGGAGTCTCCCATGCTCTTTGGGGTGCTGCCACTCCCCAGTGACGTGGGTTCAGCTCCCTCTGCCCTTTCCTTGTGCTGTGGCTCAGTGGGGCTGTAGCAGCGCTGCTCCCCCATCCCTCCCAGCCTGACTGTCCCCCACCGGTCTCCAGCCGTGAATTTCCAGGCCGACCTGGCGGATCTGACTTGTGAGATAGAGATCAAGCAGAAGCTGATTGATGAGCTGGAGAACAGCCAGCGGCGCCTGCAGACCCTCAAGCACCAGTACGAGGAGAAGCTGATCCTGCTGCAGAACAAGATTCGTGACACACAGCTGGAGCGTGACCGGGTCCTGCAGAACCTCAGTGAGAACCGCCTCGCCCGTGGGATCCCATCCCCACACACAACACTGGCTCTGGTAGAGCTTTGTCATCCCCCTGCCTCAGAGCCCCTGGGACCCCCAAGACCCTGCTTGTCTTGCCATGGGGAGTGGGACTAGTCAGATGAAAAGCTCCTGACCCAGCTGGTGCTGGAGAGGCGGCTGGAAAGGATGGCGAGGCAAAGCCTCTTCTAGCCTTGAACACTGCTTCGTGAGATGTGGGAACACTTGGGGAAGCTGAGGTGCTGAGGGGCACGTGAAGACCCCAAAGACCTAGTGGTTTAGCTGATCTCTAGGCTCAGCAGGGCAGGATCACCCATGCACATGGCTGAAGGTCTAGGTCTGCAGCTCCTCTCAGCCCAGCGACTGTGCTATAAACCACTGTCCCTGCCCTGCGCTGAGCCCTAATTCATCTCTTCCAGCAGGTGCCCCCAGACAGACCCCAGCCTGTGATGGGGCCAGAGCAGAGGGGTGAGGGAGAGGTCTGGTGGGATGGGGAGGGAGCAGTGCCCAGTGCCTCAAGGCAGGGTGTGTAGGTGCAGGAGGAGCCCGGGGTGTGTGGCCATCGCAAGCCCTCGCTCCCCCAGGCACCATGGAGTGCTACACAGAGGAGAAAGCCAACAAGATCAAAGCAGACTACGAGAAGCGGCTGAAGGAGATGAACCGGGACCTGCAGAAGCTCCAGGCAGCCCAGAAGGAGCATGCTCGCCTGCTCAAGAACCAGTCCCGCTACGAGCGGGAACTGAGGAAGCTGCAGGCGGAGGTGGCTGAGATGAAGAAGGCAAAGGTACCTGGATGTGCCAGGGCAGGGAGGGCATCCCCGGTCAAGTCTGGTTCCCTGCTCAGAAGTGATGTTTTCCACTCCTGGTGGCAAGTGCAGGACATCTGTCTGTCTGCCTGGTGGGTGGGTGCCCTGGGACAGTCGGGTGCCTGCACCGACATGCAGTACCTTCCCATTCTAGGTTGCGCTGATGAAGCAGATGCGGGAGGAGCAGCAGCGGAGGCGGCTGGCAGAGACGAAGCGGAATCGGGAGATTGCACAGCTCAAGAAGGAGCAGCGCCGGCAGGAGGTGAGGGCCCAGCCTGCCTGCCTGCCACTGGGTGTCCCCATGCCGGGGGGAGACTGGGCTGGCTGGGGGTGGATGTTTGTGCTGCTCTGACACTCCGAGATGCTCATAAATATCAGTCGGTGAAGCTCAGGGCCCTGCTGCACCCATGGCCTCACCAGGGTCCACACAGCCCCAGCAGAGCACACCTGGCTGAATGGCTCTCAAGGGCTTCCCGCAGCTCCCAGTGTGGTTGTGGGAGATGCTGTGAGCTCCCTGCCGTGCTCGGGGGGGCAATGTGCCATCAGGGCCAGCCTTAAGGCTGGAAACCTGCTCGCTGTTAAAATCACAAGTGAGACTGTTCACGCCAAAGTAACTGCTCCAAGCTTTGGTGGTGGGAGCCCCAGGACTGCGGCCATCATTGGGGTGTCTGGGCAGAACGCCAGGGGTCTCTCTCTCTCTTGTGCAGTTTCAGATCCGGGCTCTGGAGTCTCAGAAGCGGCAGCAGGAAATAGTGCTGCGGAGGAAAACCCAGGAGGTGAGGGGCGGTGGGAGGTTTGCCTCCATGTAGCCCCCAGCCCCCATGGGGGTCCTGGTCCCCAGCGCTTGGCTCAGAGACACCCCATCCTCCAGACGGTGCCAACTCTGGGAGCAGGTTTCCCAAAAGGGTGGGGGGATTTTTACAGCTCAGTAACGAGGTGGGAGATGATTGCAGGCAGCAGAGGAATTGCCCGCCTCCTGCAGCAGCTGAGCCCAGTGGCAGGGGATGGGCCACAAGGGAGAAGGGGGAAACCCATGGGGCACAAATGGCCCTGGGGCTTCGGGTCTCCAGAGCTGCCGTTCTTGGTCCTGTGGGGACCTGGGGATGACGGTGACAGGTTTGGGCTCGGGATGCCCATCTGATACCCTCTCCTCCACCCCTCCTCTGGGCAGGTCTCGGCGCTGCGCCGTCTCGCCAAGCCCATGTCAGACCGGGTCGCAGGCAGGACAAGCCAGAAGCCAGCCATGCTGGACTCAGGCGCGGAAGTCTCAGCCAGCACCACCTCCTCTGAGCCCGAGTCCGGTGCTCGCTCTGTCTCCAGCATCGTGCGCCAGTGGAACAGGAAAATCAACAACTTTCTGGGAGACCCCTCATCCTCCGTGAATGGGGCTCGGCCCACCAGGTCAGGGCAGGGGCTGCGTGGGCGGGTGATGAGGCATCCCAGAACTCCCACGTCTGGCTTTTAGCTGGTGCTGGAGGTTGAATACCAGCTTCTTATTGTGCATTTGGCCCATGTTAAACCACTGACCCAGTGACAGGCTGTGCTGGCAGCGTGTGACTGACTGTCACTTGCGCTTGAGCCCAGTGCTGGCCTTCCACGAGCATTAAACACCACAGCACAAACCTTGCTGGGCTCATCTCTTGTCCCTCTCTTTGCTAAGGGGCGATGGAGAAGTTGGGCAATCCAGAAACAGTGCAGATGCCTCCTCCGCTCCTGGCCAGCCAGAGCCCAAGCATCCTTTTGGGGTAAGCACAGCTTTCCGGGCCAGTCGCCCATGTGCCTCTTCTCCCCTCCGGCTGTAGGAAGAAGTTCCCCAAGAAGGGGACAAGTCAGACCTTCAGCAAAGCTGCCCGCCTCAAGTGGCAGTCACTGGAGCGGCGCATCTTTGACATCGTCATGCAGAGGATGACCATCGTCAACCTGGAGGCTGACATGGAGAGGCTTATCAAGGTGACGGTGGTGCTGGGGACAGAGAGGACTGGGTGATGGGTGTGGAGCAGGGGGACAGCCATGTTGACAGTGCCAATCCCCCTCCCTTTTCCCCCAGAAACGCGAGGAGCTGGCACTGCTGCAGGAAGCATTGCTGGGTAAGAGGGCGAAACTGCAGGCAGAGAGTCCTAAGGAGCAGAAGGGGCTACAGGAGCTGAATGAGGAGATCGAGGTGCTGGGGGCCAACATCGACTACATCAATGATAGCATTTCTGACTGCCAGGCCACCATCATGCAGATCGAGGAGACCAAGGTGGGTGGCTGGACTGGGCCCAGCTGGCAGGGAGAGAGCAGAAGCATCCCTGGGAGGCAAGGGTGTCCTTGGGCATGGCCAAGCTGGGCGTCCCGGCGTCCTCCTCTGAGCCGTGTCACACACTCGGTGGGGCTGCACCCATACAATCACTTCTCATTAGGTGGTTAATTGTGGAGGGGAGTGCTGCCAGGTCCTTGCACGTCCATGGACAGGCTGCCGGTGCCCTGTGCCCCACTGCCCCGGGATGTAGGGAAGCTGCAGCACCCGTCCTGCCTGTGGGGCTGGCAGTCACTCGTCCCCATGGGAGTTTCACGGGCTGGAAACATCCCAGGGAGGACTGGCTTTTTTTCCAGCAGAAACCCTGCAGGTTTTGTGTCTGGTTTTGACACTGGGCACGCCGCAGAGATGCTGTGTGGCTCCTGGCTCCTCTCTACCAGCTGCAGCCTGGGCTGGAGACTGTGTGCTGTCCCTGGCTTGTCACCGGCTGTCACCTAGGTTGCTGGGGAAGGGGCTGTTGTTAATTCACACTAGCCTTTGGGCCAGTGACCTGATCTGCTGTGAATTTGGGTAAGGCTGGTATCTGCAGATTAGTGTCTAATTAAGTGTTGGCACCAGGATTCCTCTAGCAACACAGAAGCCCTTCAGGTTGCATTAGCCATCTCCATGGCTGGATCTCCCCAATAGCCACTTGGGCAGACTGAGGAGAGCGAGTGTCGAGACTGGGCAGTACTGACAGGGCGGTGGAGGTGCTGTGCTGGCCACAGTGCCCATTCTGCCCATCCCACACCCAGTGGCAAAGCTCCCCCGCTGCGTCCAACACCCGTCCCTCCACATTTCAGGAGGAGCTGGACTCCACGGACACCTCGGTGGTGATCAGCTCCTGCTCCCTGGCCGAAGCCCGGCTCCTGCTGGACAACTTCCTGAAGGCCTCCATTGACAAGGTGCGGGGCCAAGCCAGGACCTGGATGCATGATGGGGTTTCCTGCAACTGGGGAGGGGAGCAGGGTGCCAGGATGGGGACCTGGTGAAGGGGACCCAAGACACCCACCTGAGACCCAGCGTGGCCGTCCTTCCCCAGGGGCTGCAGGTGGCACAGAAGGAGGCCCAGATCCGCCTGCTGGAGGGGCGCCTGCGGCAGACGGACATGACCGGCTCCTCACAGAACCACGCCATCCTGGATGCCCTGCGGGAGAAAGCCGAGTCGCACCCTGAGCTGCAGGCCCTGATCCACAACGTCCAGCAAGGTGGGACCCAGGGCTGGTGCATCCTCAGGCATGCTGCCTGTGGGGTGAGGTGCCCACCCATGCTGGTCCCCCAAGAAACACCTGGAGGTGCCACGGCTGGGACCAGCGTGCCCAGGGCTGCCCCGAGGACGATGCTGGGTGGGGACGTGTGCTCCGGCCACCACACAACAGGGATGAGGACCGGGTCCCTGCCCCCAACTGCCTGGGCTGTCCCCTCCACCTCACAGTTCAGATGGGGCTCAGCACAATGGGGTCCCCTCTGCGCTGCTCATGTGCTGTCTCCCTCCTGCACAGAGAATGGCTACACCAGCACGGACGAGGAGGTCTCAGAGTTCAGCCTCGCTTCTGATGGGAGGTGAGCACCCAGCCCAGCCCTGCCTGAGCTGGTGGTGGCTGGGGAGGGGGGGGGTGGGGTAGGATGTCTGGTGCCACCCATGGGACCTCGCAGATGGACATGGATGAACAAAGCCCCACCTAAGCTTTCCTGTGGTGCCCAGCCCTTGGGGAGGGGAGCAGAGATGTCTCCTAGACACCCGCGGGGAGTGAAGACTAGGTCATCCCTTGGAGAAAGGGTGCTGGGGAGCTGGGGGTGACCCAAGGAGTCTGGTGGGCCAGTGGCAGCTGGCTCTCTGAAAGGAGTTCGGCACTGAAGATTCATCTTTGCTCCTTTCTCCTTGCAGCATCTCCCAGTCTTTCACCATGAAGGGCTCAGCAAGCCAGGATGACTTCAAGTTCAAGGTTAGTTGCCCTTTCTGTGTAGACCCGTCACAGGGAATGGGAGGAGGTATGGAAGGGCATGTTGTTCAGCAATGCTCCAGGCCTCTGCTCTGCAGTCTGACCCTTGGAGAGTCAGGCTTGGCATAAGGCAGTATGGCTGGTCTCTGGGTGGGGTCAGCTCTAGGCAAGGAGGAACCCAGGCCGCCTGGTCCTGTGGTCCTCTGAAGCACCAGAGACTTAGGAAACATCCACCGCATCAGCCAGTACCCTCCAGATTTGAGTGGGCACCAAGGAGATCCCTGTGCAGTGCTGCATCCATTGTGGGCAAAGGTGGAGGAAAGCACCCGTTCTGCACAGGCTGTCACATTTGCTTAGAGTATGGAGAGCCAGCACTGTGATGGGCATCCCAGCACAATGCAGGAGGAACTCAACCTCCTGTGGCCAAGAGAGCACGAGCTGCTCCACCCCACAGCTCTCTGGCTGCTCCCGCTGTCCTCCCCCCGTGCTGCCTGTGCCTGAGCCCTCTGCCCTGCTCTAGGGAGAGCCCAAGCTCTCAGGGCAGATGAAGGCAGTGTCGGCTGAGTGTCTAGGACCCACGCTGGACGTCTCCACCAAGAACATCACCAAGTCCTTGGCATCCCTCATGGAGATCAAAGAGGATGGGATCAGCTTCTCCATCCGAGACCCCTATTACAAGGAGAAGGTGTCACGCACCATCAGCCTGCCCACGCGAGGAAGCACCTTGTGAGCATGGGGTGATGGGTCTCTGGGCATTGGGAAGCTCATGGAGGCATGGGCCAGCAGGTGGGAAGCTGTGCCCTGGCTGTGGAGTTGCAGAGCGGTGAGGGTGAGCCCAATTCTGCATCTATCCAGGCTTGTCTGCAGCAAGCAGTGGTGGATTTCTCCAGTGGGACTTGGAGAGTGTCTAGGAGTATGTTGGTATCCTCTGCAGAGGGAGAGAAGGGTACTCCAGGAGGAGGGAAAGAAGGGGGCGTGCGAGGGTCCCCGACTCACTGCCCTGGGTTATCAGCCTTCTTGGAGGCTTCTTGGGTTGCCAAAGCCTCCACGCTCATGGGACGACTCGAGGCATCCTCTGATCTTGTGATTGTGACTCCAGGGCAGCCCAACTTCTCCATTTGCTCTGCTGGGGAAGGACATGGGTGTTCAGCATGGAGGGATCCCAGCAGGGGAGGCAGGCACCCACTGTGCTCTGTTTCACTTGCTTTAGTCCCAGGCAATCTCGTGGCTCGGACACTTCACCTCTGACAAGGAGGAAATCCTATGACCGTGGGCAACCTGCCAGGTGAGCTTGGGAGCTAGAGAAATGGTGACATGGGCAGGGAAAGGCTGGGTGGTCCAGACAAGTGGGGAGAGATGCTGGCTGAGCCAGCTCTTGCTGGGCCCTGGTGTGCCAGGCAGCTGCCAGGTGAGCAATTCCCAAGTCATGTGTCCCTCTAATCCTTCCTGGCTCAGGCCTCCAGATGTTGGCTTCACGCCTCCTTCATCCCCACCCACCCGTCCACGCAACGACCGCAATGTCTTCTCTCGTCTCACGAGCAACCAAAGCCAGGGGTCTGCCTTGGATAAGTAAGTCCTGGTGGGGTGGGAGGATCTGAGTGAGGGGGACCCATACCATAACAGCAAATGACACATACCAGGTCCCACGGTGGAGTGTAAGAGCACAGGACCTGGATCGGCTCCAGCAAGCCTCCTGCCACCATTTTCGCTCCCTGCTCCTCTCCATGAGTGAGCAGATGCTCTGCAAGGGCCATGCTGGACCCTTGTCCTGTCCTGCCTGCTGTGCGTCTCCTCCAAGCTGGCCCCTGGCTAAGCCCTACTTGGAGACATGGTGGTGCCAGACTTGGACGACTGGCAAAGGCTATGGAGCAGGATGGGGTGAGGCGGGATGGGGGCTCGCAGGAAGCTGAAGGACTGGCACCAACCCACAAATGCTGCTCCAGCCTCCCAGCCTCCCCCTGCAGCAGGCTGGGCAGCTGCCCTCATCTCGGAGCATTGCTAGCAGCGCTGACATTCCCTGATGGAGACCTGCTGTTTGATCCTCACATGCCCTCCTGCTCCTCTGCCCTCTCTCCTGGTTCTCCATGCGTGCTTCTTTTTCTCCCTCTCTCCCTTCCTCCTTCTCTCTGTCCTACACTGGCTTGGATGCAATAACAATCCTCCATCTCTGACTCCTCTGCTGCCTCTCCAGTCTGGGTTTTCTCTCCCATAATCCTGCTAATTTTCTGCCCCTAGGTCTGATGACAGCGATTCCTCTGTCTCGGAGGTGCTGAGGTATAGACAACTTTCTATTTATTATCCCTTCCTCCTCTCTTCCTCCTCTCTGTCTCATGAGTCTGCTCTCCCTTGTCCCTGCATGCTCCACCTGTGCCTTGCTGCTCTCCCCCACCTCCCAGCTTGTGTGTGCTGTCCCCTCCTGGCATGCCACCTCCAGTATCTGACACTGTCCCCTCGGTTGCGAGTTCGAACCATTGAACCATTCCTGGTTTGATCAGCCCTTGGAACCGTGGCCCTGGGCTCACCTATGGACACTGGCTGGTTTGGGGTGGCAGCATGTTCTCCTCCATCTCTGACGGGCTCTCATCGGCATGACGCCACCATGTCCCATCCCGTCCCTCAGCTCTCCAGCAGGACGGTGTGATGCTGGGGAAGGGGGCAAGCAATCCTGGGCACTCCCAGTGTGTCCTTCTTGCAAGCATCTTTTAGGCAAATATCTCCAGGTGCTCCCCGCACCTGGTTGTGCTTCCCTGGTGCTGGGTTGTGGGTGGGTAGATCTCTTTCCCAAAGAAACCAAGTCAGATTGTGGTGCAGAGCTCCTGGGCTTGTCCCACTGCACCCTCCTGCCTACAGAGGTTTCCCAACACAAGGGCCACCTTTTCCCCATCCCTTAGGAACATCAGCCCTCCAGCACCCAGGTGTCCCCTCACGGTGCCCATGCCCACCTCCCCCACAGTCACTGAGGAGGTGGCACCAGATGTGTCTGTGCTGCGTCACCTTGGGCACTTTGCCGTCAGGCAGCAATGCAACGTCCATCGATAACATCTCACCCTAGGGAGCCGGGATTTCCATTTAGATTCAGCATCATCTTGAGACTGGTAGAAACACTAGGGGTCAGGGGAGGGCTGTTTAATTGGAGTTTGTAAGTGCAGCTGCTGAGAAAGAAAGATCACATGCATGTGATTTCCAAACCCAGATTAATGAGCCTGTGTTTGCCCTCATGACTAATGCAAACCTTATGTGGCCTCGGGCCTGCCCTTCTCCAGCCCTGAGCCTCAGTTTCCCTGCCTATAAGAAGAGACTAGCACAAGCCAGGGCCCCACGGATGCGAGGAGGCTGTGCTTTGGGACAACAGCTGGGAAGAGCTGTTGGTGGCCATGCACACTTGGGTCTGGAAGGGTAGGGCTGTTGGACCTCAGCACCCTGAGCACTGCTGAAGTGGAGGGGATTGGCAGATGCTGTGCCTAGAGGGACAGGCAGCAGGTGTCCCTTGGAGGAAGGTTTGGCAGGGATAGGTCCTCTCCTGCCCAGAGACAGTGGTGGGTGCAGGGTTTCCACAGCCATTACGACAAGGACACTGGGTGCAAAAGACACAGCGCTGTCTTTTGTCACCCTTGTGGTCTTACGTAAAGGAGCGGAGCCCTGTCTCCAAATGTCACCAGCCACAGGCTGACAGCCTCCAAGGAACTGGGGTGTTGGATATTGGTACGCTGAAACATTTATCCCAGCAGTTTCAGGCTGGAGAAGTGCAGTTTGTCCCAAACTGAGCTGAGGACCAATGAGCTGGGTCTCCTGGCTCCTTGAGTCTGTGCTGG